GGAATATTACTCAGCCATCAGACAGGATGAATACCCAACTTTTACATCAACATGGATGGAACTGGAGGAGATTATATGCTAAGTGAAATAAGTCAAGCAGAGTAAGTCAATTATATGGTTTCACTTATTTGTGGAACATAAGGAATAGCATGGAGGATATTAGAAGGAAGGGAAAAATGAAGGGGAGGGCGGGAAATTGGAGGGGGAGATGAACCATGAGAGACTATGGACTCTGAGAAACAAACTGAGGGTTTTAGAGGGGAGGGGTGTGGGGGGGATGGGTTAGCCCACTGATGGGTATTAAGGAGGGTATGTATTGCATGGAGCACTGAGTGTTATACGCAAACAATGAATCATGGTTCACTACATCAAAAACTAATGATGTACTGTATGGTGACTAACATAATTTAATAAAAAAATAAAAATTAAAAAAATACTTTCTTATAATGGCAATGCAAATTAAAATATTATAAATTTTAAATTCTAAATAATTTTTTGTACTGTATGGTGACTGAACATAGTAACAAAACAAACTGAAATTTAAATTTTAAATAAATTTAAAAGGAAGCAAGTATTTTGTGTGACTCTGTATCATAGCTTGAAATCTTACTGTCATGTAGAGAAGAAGCCTAAGTAGAATGCTTCCAGAATTAAGGAGTACTTCTGGACAAATAAAGTGTTTAATAAAAACAGTTAAAGAATTTTAAAAAGCATACTTCATTAATTTTACTTTTACAGGTAGAAAAAACTTACTAATATGTTATTATCAGGCTTAGATACCATTTCTTTGCAATTCTTAATGTTCAGCTTAAATTAAAATTTCAAGACAAATTATGTTACATTAAATGGGGCACAAGGGCTATCTAGCAACATACTGACAGTGGAAATATTCCCCCCCCCAGGTTCTTTAACATTAAAAAATATTAAACAATATGTGTAATTATCTCCTTTTCTAGGGTCTCACATACCTGAACATGAGTGACGATGTAAGTGAGTATACAATTCTCTTAATCATGCTGCTGCAAAAAGAAGTAAAAATTAAATTCCAGAGTTTTCAAGTATATCACAGACTTCTAATATAGAATATGAATTTAGCCAAAAAAAAGGACTTCATATATATAGTTTGAAAGAAAGTTCTTCAGAAGTTGCAAAACAAAATGCTTTTTACCAAGATTTTCAATGTCCTGCTTCATGATTTTTTTTAACTTTCATACATAGAATAAATGCAAATAAAACTCTAAACTATGTTTAGTAATATTTCCATTGCCTGTAAAGCCCCAATCCCAAGTTTACAGTATTATTAAAGTTGGGATCATCAACTAAAGCAAGATAACATGGAGCCAGAAAGACACGGTAGAAGAGATCAATCAATGTTCTATCTCTCTCATTAAGGAGCTGTGGGAGTCATCAAACCTTGGCCAGACCTGTTTCCATAGCAGTTAAATAAAGGACTTCAGGGATGGATAGAGAGTAAATGATACTCTTGTCTTATAATATTCATCTCTTGAAAAAAGACACCCAGGAACACAACACTTAATCATTAATGAGAGTCATATTGGGGTAGCAAGTGCACTTTGGAGATACAGAATTTTAGTAAGATACATTTCAAAGGAGAAACACCCTAGAGACTGAGCTCCTTCCATTAATAGGAGGAGAAGCCTGTTTGATGGAGCCTCCAGCTATGCCTCCTTTTATTCTATGCCTGGAGACAAGGTAACTACTGGGGAGCAAATTATTGCCATGCTGAAGCCTACAACACAGGACCCAAATTCCACCCCAAGTGGCATTAATGCCAAAACAGTGCTTATAGCTTGCACCCAAGACTGGACTGGACAATGGAGTGAACAGATGAATAGAACTGGGCCCTGCCAAAATTGGCTACCAATGAATGCTATTAGGCTAACCTGAGATATAAGAGCTCCCTGCTCCCTACAAATTCTCCACCCCCCTCACCTGCACTCACCACGTCTGCCCAGGCTTAGGAAGCTGAGGCTAATGTGGACACATGACTGATTGGCCAAAAGAGGGGAATTGCCCTGAGGCTGCCATTTTTTAAAACACGCCCTTCTGATCCCACACAGACTGGATCTCTGGGTAGTGAAGAAATTTTATAATAAATCTGAATTTACTTGACAAAGTGACCATACAGAACCCATGCCTGACAGAATCATGAGGCACAAAGGGGAGGCTTTAACTCCCCTATCTTTTTCAAAACTACTCCAATAAATATACAGTTGAGATTTAAAAAAAAAATAGTGTGTTAAGAGTGCAGCTTCAAACAATGTGTGTGGAGTTTGCTGGGGAAGAACTGTGACTCAGTAATTCTATGTCCAGGAGAAGCATTATTCATATTTGAGAGGAACAGAAAAACACCCTCCAACATGCCATGACTCAAAACATGACAGACATGTGCCTCTCCTAAAAACAATTACTCAAAGAAGTGCCAACTGAGCAATGAATCAAAATGAAGAACTCAGGAATAAGGAAGATGCCTTATAAAGACAAGGTGTTAAGAAATCATAAATATTCAGAACTAAGTCTAAATAATCATTGTTAACATAGCATGCAATGTAAACAAATGATTCTAAAACCAAGGATAAATAACATCAAATTCTCCATAATAGTTTGGCTTTAATATTGCAGGTTTTCAGGGGACTTCTGGGAGAATAGTGGAGTAGGAGGATCCTAAGTTCACCTTGGGCACACCAAGATAATAGCCATAATAGTGTAACCAACCCAGAAAATGACCCAAAGACTGGCAGAAGAGACCTTCCACAGTTCATCGTAGAGAGGAGGCCACATTGAAAAGGGTAGGTGGGGTGGAGATGCAGTGGGGAACAAAACTCCTGCTGAGACTAACCGCAAACAAGAGGGACCCACAGGCATGGAAAAGGAAGAGGAGGAGACTCCACAGCAGGTACCCCAGACACAGGGACCCGCAATGGGAAGATGAGCCCCATAACATCTGGCTTTGAAAGCCAGTGGGGCTTAACTTAGTGAGTTTGTACAACCAGCAGGGCTTAACTCAGGGTACTTTAAAAATCAGTGGGCTTAGTTCTAAGAGAGCCAGAGGGCAATAGGAAACTGAGTCCCTGCCCTTAAGGAGCCAGAATAACCTACAATCCCACTGAGATAAGCATAGAAGCAGCAGTTTGACAAATACCTGGGATATAGTGGAGGAGATTTATTTATTAATCTCAGAGTATGTGCTGGAGAGCAGTGATCTTTAGAAGACTTCTCCAAGAACAAAAGAGCTGGTGGGACCATTTGCCCCCTCCCCAGCCTAGATATCTTGGCACTCGTGGGAACTAATGAGAACACTTTACACCTACCTTGCTAACACCATGTACCCTGCCCCCATGTTCTCCTGTGGATCTGCCACATCCAACATGCCCCACTCAGAGGGGCTTCCTTCAAAGTGACACCTGCCCTGAGGAGAAGGGAAGATAACTATACGCACTAGTTCTGTTGCAGTCCCAGTAGCTGAACCTTATAACTGGCAGTGCAGAGTGCCCTGTCAATTGATGCATGTGCCACCTGAGCAGACAGACAGGGGGCAGGCATCTGAGCTGATTGCTGACCCCATCCACCAACAAAAACATCCCAGGGGGGCAGCACAGGGATACAAACCAATAGTTTGGGGTCACTGCAGTTCTGGCAGATGGACTGGGGACAGGTATCTAGTTAGTTTGCAGGCCCCACCCACCAACCAAAGCCTCTCAGGGTAGAACACCGGGAGAATGGCCTGAGTTCGGTGTGACTGCAGCCCCATCAAACGAGTTAAGGGCAGGCATCTTGTCTGACTGCGGATACCACCCAACTGCAAGTCTACAGCAGCCCCAGACTGGCCCCTCAACAGCAGAGTGACCAAACTCTGCCCACAACAGGCAAAGTAGGCCATTGTAGCCAACTGGACTGAAGGAAAATGAGGCTCAGCCTACAGCAGTAGAGTATATGGAAACCACATAGAAGAAACCCTTGAAGTGCCTGTTTCTGATAAACGGCCACCACAGAACTTCTTCTTAAGGCCGCTACTTTCAAAGTCAGGAGACATAACTGACTTTCCTAATACAGAAAAATAAACACAGAGAGTTAGTTAAAGTGAGGAAACAGAGGAATGTGTCCTAAATGACAGGACAAAACCAGAGCAAAAGAGCTAAAATGAGACAGAGATAAGCAACATGCCTGATTAAAAAAACTCAAAGTAATGATCATAAAGATACTTACTGGATTTAAAAAAATAGTGGAGGACCTCAGGGAGACCTTCAAAAAAGAGCTATAAAATATAAAAAAGAACCAATCAGAGGTAAAGAACTCAATAACTGAAATTAAAAATATGCTGGAGGGAATAAATAGTAGATTAGAGGAGGCAGAAGAATCAATCAGCAAGCTGGAACATAGAGTAACAGAAAGCAACCAAGTTGAACAACAACACAAAAGAATAAAAAATGTGAATAGGTTAGGAACTCAGCAAAATCATCAAGCATAATAACACTCACATTATAGAGATCCCAAAAGGAGAAGAGAAAGAAAAGGGGGCAGAAAATTTGAAGAAATAGCAACTGAAAACTTCCCAAATCTGGGGATGGAAACAGACATCCAGATCCAGGAGGCACAGAGAGCCCCCAATAAAATCAATACATAGAGGTCTACACCAAGACACATAACATTTAAAGTGGCAAAAGGTAGTGATAAAGAGATTTTTTTTAAAGCAGCAAGTGAAAATAAAAAGTTACATAAAAGGGAAACCCGATAAGGCTATCAGATGATTTTTCAGTAGAAACTCTGTAAGCCAGAAGAAAGTGGCATAATATATTCAAAGTGCTGAAAGGAAAAAACCTGCACTCAGGAACACTCTACTCAGCAACGCTGTCATTCAGAATAGAAGGAGAGATGAATAGTTTCCCAAACAAAAGTGAAAGGAGTTCATTACTACTAAACCAGTCTTTGAAGAAAAGTTAAAGGAAATTCTTTCTGTGGAAAGAAAAGGCCATTATCAAGAGTAAGAAAATTATGAAAGGAAAACATTTCACATGTAAATACAAACATAGTAAGTAGTAAATTAATTCCTTATAAAGCCAGTATGGAGGTTAAAGCAAAAAGTAGTAAAATCAATTATATCTATAAAAATCAGTCAAGGGATTCACAAAATAAAAGGATGTAAAGTATGACATCACATACATAAAACGTGAGGGGGGTGTGTAAAAATATAGTGCTTTTAGAAAGGGTTCAAATTTAAGCAACCATCAATTTAATGTAGACTGCTATATGCATAAGATGTTATACATGAACCTAATGATAACCACAAATCAAAAACCTGTAATTATGCAAAAAATAAAGAGAAAGGAATCCAAACATATCATTAAATGAACCATCAAGCCACAAGGGAAGAGAGCAAGAGAAGAACTACAAAAACAACTATAAAACAAGTAAGAAAGGGGTGCCTGGGTGGCTCAGTCAGTTAAGCATCTGCCTTTGGCTCAGATCATGATCTCAGGGTCCTGGGATCGAGCCCCATGTCTGGCTCCCTGCTCAGCAGGGAGTCTGCTTCTCCCTCTCCCCTGCCCCTGCTCATGCTCTCTCTCACTACCTCTCTCGCTCTCTCTCAAATATGTAAATAAAATCTTTTAAAAAAAATAAAAAACAAGCAACAAAATGGAAGTACATACCTAATAATAATTACTTAGAATGTAAATGGAATAACTGCTCCAATAAAAAGACACAGGGTGACTGAATGGATAAGAACAAGACCTATTTATAAATGCTGCCTACAAGAGACTCATTTCAGATCAAAGACATGCAGATTGAAAGTGAGGGGATGGAAAAACATTTACCATGAAAATGGAAGCAAAAGGCTGTGATAGCAATACTTATATCAGAAAAACAGACTTTAAACAAAGACTGTAACAAGAGACAGAGACGTAAACATAAAGGGAACAAACCAACAAGAAGGCATAATTTTATGCACCCAAATATAACCAATTAGGTGCTCAACCTGGGAACACCTAAATCCAT